CCACAGAAATTGGCCAAGAAGTTTTACTTTTTTTTGTGTACAGTTTTTTGGGCGGGAGGCGTGCAAATATATTTTGGCCAACAATATTAGTTTGCGGCGCCACATTTTTGGCGCCCCTTTAAGAGCATGTGCCACATTCTGATACTTCGCTTACGAGCACTTAATCGATTTAGGGCCTGCCAGAGTTTTGCCCGCTGCCAAACAACTTTGACAGTTGACAGAGTCAACGGCGAGTCAAAGCCTCCGAATCCTTGTATCCCCCAAAATACATTGCCATTGCCAAGCTGCTCGAATCTCTGCAGACATTGGCAAGCCGATAAACTTTGTGGCATGTTTAACCCTCTTCACGACCTTCGCTTCATTCCAGACTTGACGCATTAATCTGAACTTTGGCTTACTTATTTTTAATTAAGTTCATCAAACTACTTGAAAATATAAACAAAATTAACTGCCAACTTGGCCCTGTGGCCAGATTTGGGGACATTGAGACTAAGTAGAGTGCAAAAGAATGCAAAATTCAGATTTTTGTTTATTTTAATCCATATTCAATATGTGTACATATTTGCAACAAGTATATTTTGTTATTTAATAACTGGCGTATGCGACGTATACGTAATGCAAACAAATCACAAAAACTGTTTGTCGTTTTCCAATTGATTAAACACAAATATAAATATAAATATTTTCTGATTTTCAGCTAAAAAAATAACAAATTTCGAAAATTATTATTTAAATTTATATAAATTTTAAATCTATGAAGAGCTTTTTCAAAGCATTTGGGAACAAACAGTTTTTCGGGTGAAATTTAATAGAATAATCCTCTCAAAGCCAGTTTTCATGTTGCTTCTTCAAAAAAGATTTAGACATTTACATTCATTTTCAGAATCTAAATAAAAAAAATGCACTGTTTAAATATGTAAAGAGAAAGCTTTTGATGTCATTTCCCAGTATTTGATATATTTATTATTTAAATGTCTTATAAAATATCTGGTATACATGACGTATACGCAATGCGAACCTAACAAAAACTATTCTGTTTGGAGTTTAATGGAGTTTACTTTCTCTGACAGCGTGCTTTTTGTGCGTCACCTAATTAAGTGGATCGCCTGGCCCGGCTTGCTAGTTTTCGAGCTCGTTTGCAAAACTTTCACGGTGCCGCATTTAATTAAATAAATAAATGTGCGCAACTTTTTCTTTCAATATTAATATTTTTTTCGATTCGTTTGCTCTGCAGCTGCATCAACTTGTCAAAGTGAATGTTTTTCCTGTGCTTCTGTTTGCTGTGTGGAAACTCACAGGAATAGCCTTTTTTTTCTGTACATGCGGTTAATTTGCCGGATGGTGTACAGGGGGGAGTGATGGGGGCGTGGCATAAACAATAACTGACAAATAGAACTTGGTCTAGACAGGGGCGAAAATAAAATTATTGCGACTGGTTTGGGGATTTGTGAGGCACTTAATTGATTCGGAAAGCGCGTCCACTGAATTATAGATAAAAATCTTACTTACTTTTATTATGAGGTCACGTACGCAGTACAAAGCAATGTTCAGAGCGAACAAAAAATCGAATGGAAAAACTAGAAGAAAATTCGTAGGGCAACACAATAATGAAATTAAGCAAACGTGGCGCGCACTCAAAAAGCCAGTCGAGCAAAATGGAAGCTCACTCATATTTTTATTTATTTATTGGCAGCACATGAAACTAATGTTAAACGACACGCAGAACACTTGCCAGCTGCTTGGGCACACTTCATCAAAGCAGACCTGTTTCAAATTAATGAAAATACGTGGCTTTAACCAATTGCAAGCATTTGGCTTTAAATGCCGAGCCACTGAATGCTTGGCATATCTTTGAAATATTATATGCAAGTTTTTCAATTCCAATTAACGCCTAAAAGCATGCAACAATTATTTAAATGTTACCACAGACGTGTGTCGAATTTCGTGTGTGTGTGTGTGTGTGTGTGTGGCAAGTAATTAATCATAGCACGCAAAATTGATGTTTTCAATTTAATGAAATTAATCGATTTTGTAAGGCTTGTTATTGTTATGAATGAGTGCAGTTTTTGCCGCCAGCCAATTTACAAGTCGAAATGAATTTTAATTATATTATAACAACTGTTCATGTTTATGTCTCTGTGTGTGTGCGTGATTTAATTGATATCCTAATTAAAGAAAATAGGTATTGTTGCATTTGGCTGCCGACAACTTGACAATGACAATTTGTACACTGTCACAGCTGCTTTGATTTATTTTCTACCCAATTTCACATGAGCTAAGCAAATTTTGCCTTATTAATTTGTATTAATTATGCCAGCTAATCTGGGCACTCTATCAGTTATCCTGCCCGGGGGAATAGTTAACAGAATTTTCAATCATTTACACTCCCCGAAGAGTAGAAGCACGTGGCCCCAAGAATTGTGTGCAAATAAAAAGAATATATGGCAAGAATATGTCTGATACTCCCTCTACTAAAGTATTTGAGTTGGCCTAGATGTAAGCTCAGGAAGTGAGTCGTGGGCCTCGTCTGCAATTGTTGCAACTATGCAAAGCGACTCCTTAATGCAAATAGACAAATGACAAGCATAACTACGAGGCATAGTTTTGTTTTTGCTTGGGAATAAAACATTTCGTTGACTTTGTAGCTGCGATTAATACGCTGGTTTTGCCATTTCTATGAGCTGCTCGCAAATCGATGACAAAGTTTTCTAGTCTGGCCCCTCATCCTGCGGGACGCACGAAATATGCAAATGCAAGTGCGCCTGCAATGCAGCAAAGCATCGAGGAACGTGCTCCATTTACAGCAACAGCAACGGCAACAACAAAAATAATAACAACAACAACTGGAATGGGACAAAAAAGAACGCACTCATCGTCAAAGAAAACGAGCCTGACACACACCGACAGGCTCACAGACTGGGACACAGACAAGGACATACAGTGAGCCATAGACAATGGACGGCTTGTCCTCGTTCTTGTTGTTGCTGTTGTTGTTGTTGTTTCTGGTCTCGCTGCAGACTGAGACAAACTTCCGCTTGTGATTGCAGATAAAGCACGTTCCAGGCGTCCGTCTGTCCCGGCTGGGACCAAAGACCGTCAAGGGGCGGCGCCTAAATTGATGCGTATTGATGCTGCAGGCGTTTGCGAAACATGCAAAAACATCTTCTATTTGCTCAAGGCCCGGTATCCGGTCCAGCCGCCAAATCAGTCTAAATTATCATCCCAGCTGCATTTTAATGTCTGCGTCAATTTCACATCAAAAATATGCTCCCAACATTCCCAACATTTTCTTGATTGATGACATTTTGGCTACAGCTTGAGCTCGTTTTTGTTTAGCTGCATTTAAATTTTTAGTTTAATTTTCTTGCAGAAATATTCCACATTTTATTTTCGAAGTTTTCAAACTTATAACTTTATTTTTAATGTTCGTTTTTGATTCAAAGCTCAAGTCAAAAATGCTAAAAATGTTGACTTCTGATTCTACCAGCCCTTAGGGCATGTCCCTAGCATAGTTCACTTACTTTTTAAAAATACTTAGCTGAGGAATGAGAGAGATTTTGATATTGGTTTGTCCTCTGGTTTGGTTATGCATCAAAATATCTTTTAAAATAAATTTGAGAGGTCTGCCCAAAAAACGAGAACAATTTTGGCTTGTAAGCTTCTAAATTCAATGCCTCCCTTGAAGGTTATTCCTTGATTCTCCACAATGAGTGCTTATATGCACAATATTGCGCATTATTCAAGCCCTGGGTTAGGCATTAAATATTCAGTTTAATATTCAAAACAAATAACTGTATGCGAGCTGTAGTCTGCTGCGTTTGACACTTGCCACAGCCACGTGGCGGGCGCTGGCCGAGTTGTTTTGACTCGTGCTAACTCGATTTTATTTGACTTTGCCTGCGCCTGACATTTTGGCCCCCGGGGCTGCAAAATTAAATCATTTAAAAATCAACAATAATTAAGCACGAAACTTTTGCGGCAACTTTATGTGAAGGTAATAGTGCTCAGATCGTAACACTGGCATTTACACGACATCAAATGGAAAACTTTTCGCCCCCGCCCCCGCCCCGGCACTTCTTAATTAAGCGCCGCATTAGATGACAAAACTTTCCATGTTGCATGGAATTTTCACTCAGTTGTTGGCTTAATAATTAGACAGGTTGCCCCCAGAATGGACAAGCTGAGCTGAGCTGAGCTCTCACTTGACAACTGCCCAATTTTCACTTGTTGACAATTTAATTATATTTTCCTAGAATATTGCTGCTAGTTATGTCGAATTTTGTTTCTGAGAACAGAAGCAGACTCTGTTCTTAGTATGTAAACAAATCTTAGATATACGTATTCACAGTCATTTAAATATATTGGCAGCTTTTTGTTTTCGAATGTGAACCAATTCTCGGAAGCAGCAAAGGCTATTTTGTGGAAAAATGAACTACAATAAATAAAATTTAAGCTGCAATTGCAGTCGACAATTGCGATTGAAAGCAATGGCAATGCCAAAGAAAAGCTTCAAGAAGTCTTTCAATAAAACACATTCAAAGGAAGCGTTCGGGTAAAGTGTATGTAGTGCGACTTTCTTTGACTTCGGCTGCACAGAATATTAAGTTGTGGGTCGGGAGTGGAGAGTGGAGAGTGCATAATACTAAATCATACTTATGTCATAAATACTTGGCTCAAAGTGTCCACTACACACACACAGAGAAAAACAAAAAGCGGCGCCTGCAAACGGAAGCCGCACTCAAAGGGGCGCCGCTTCCTGGCTCCGGCTGCACTTCTGAGCCTGGCTCTGGTGCTGTGCCTGCTTCTGGTCCTGGTCCTGGTCCTGGTCCTTGTTGCGGTCCCAGTGGCGGCTTTTTGCCTTTGTGCATTGTGCTTTGTGCTTGTTTATTTTGCCGCCAAAGGCGAATGGGTAGGCGGTACGCCTTGGTTTATTTCAAACACACAAAAACTCAACTGACTTTAATGCCGCCGCTTCCTGGCGGCTTAATGAAAATGTGCACTTATTTTTAGCCAAATGTCAACGCACCGCACATTATGTCACATATTTATAGAACTCTCATCAAAGAGCGCGCGCCGTAAATATAGTCTACAAGGTAAATTCATGTTGATTCCCAGACGTTCAATTGCCATTTTATTGGTTGCCCATTCAATGAATTCCCCTCGGAAGCGCCTGTCATCACGAGCAGACGTCACAAGTTAAAGCTATTCTGAACAATTGAAAAGTTGGGAAAAAATGTGGTAAATGATTTCAAAATATCAGGTTAATTAATCAAAAGCTTGAAAAGCTCATGAGTTACTGCAACATAAAAAATCTGACAGCTTTTAAATTTGGGCTCAACTATTTTCGGGGCCATCTAGAATTGATAGCTTGCTTTAAGCATTTTGCTTTTCTTCTTCTTGTTCTTTCAGCGCTCAATTTTGGTGCAATTTTAATTTCATATCTTGATTTTCGTGCCATAACTTTGACCCAAATTGTCTAAGCCTACCTATGGGCTTTTGTGTACGTTTAAAAGTCGGCAACTTTTCGTTTCGTTTCGTTTCGTTGTCTCGAGTGCACACAACACACAACTCCTTGCCTCCTTGCCTCCTTGCCCCTTGCCCCTTGCTGCGGGCGAGAACTTGCCACGTCTGTACGGATTCCCTTGCCGCGGCACGTTTCGCACGCCTCAAGTTGGCCGCTTTCATTCTTTGGTAGTTCGCATTGTTGGGCTAAACAAAAGCGCATTGTTTTCGGCCCGACTAGAGAATTTCTTTCGATTTCCTTGACTTTTATGCACTTGCTGCGGGTTATTTATGGGCCCCTGGCATTGGAGCCGAGCTAAAGCGCTGCAGCCAAGAATTGTCTTTGTTCTAATGCCAGTTAAAGCGCTCAAAAAAAAAGACAAGCTTAGTTAATCATTCAGTCTCTCTTTAAACAACTGCTATAACTATTTCCCCCCACTCTCTCTCTCTCTCTCTCTCTCTCTCTATCTAGTGGAGGGCCTGACTATGACTGAGATACGCATCCCGAAGCACATTATGCGACATGAGGACGCCGTGTTGGGCTGCAAATTCGACTTGGATGGCGAATCGCTGTACTCGGTGAAGTGGTACAAGGATGGCTTCGAGTTCTATCGCTATGTGCCACGTGACATGCCGCCCGGACAGGTGTTTCCGCTGCCCGGCGTCGATGTGGAGGTGAGTGTCTGTGTAGCTAATCTGATCGATGCGACACGATTCGATTGAATTCCACCATCGAGTAGGCAGGTTGTTTTCATTTATCCCCCAAGCTCGTCAAGTTGCCCAAGTCAATTACAAGCAGGCTGTAGAACGGCAGGCAGGAAATAAATATATACTCGTTCGCTTACATTTTCGGAACTCGAACAAAATGTACTCCAAGAATAAATCGAAGGTGCTGCAGACGCTGGAGGAATGCTTCCCGCCTCTTAGCCACGAAGAGACCATTGACATGATTGCCCAAATGGTGCGCCAGCCGAAAAGCAATCCCATCGAGGCCGGCCTGCGTCTGGGCAAGATTGACAAGGAGCAGGGCATTCTGCATATGGAGAGCCAAATGAAGCTGCACGCGGCCATGGAGCATTTCGATGCCACCCCGGAAGCACTGGACAGTGCTCTGCCGGTCAGCGATAAGGAAATGAACGAACTGGCCGAGGTTGCCTCATCGCTGCATGCCGAGGACGACGATGACGACGACGGCGATGACGACATTGAGGAAGAGGATGATGATGATGAGATCGATGGGGATGACGACGACGACGAAAATGATGCAGAAAAAGAAAAAGCAGTCGAAAGCCTCAAGCTATATGATCAGAACGATCCAACGAAATGAGCTCAAATTGTCAATAGTTTAGAATTCATGCGACGGGTGCCTGCATTGAGTTTAACACTGGCCAACACAATTGCGAGTTGTTCAGTTTATGTTCGAAAATGTGTAGAATTTCAAAATTTGCATTTAAATTAAAGTTCAGTTCTCCATCGCACACTTTTATTTTCTTCCCCTGCATTTCAAGAACTTGGAGGAAAATCTTTCTCTTTAATATGTGTGTGTGTTAGTGCATGTGTGTGTGTGTTAGTGCATGCATGCATGTATGTGCATATATGAATATATATATATATATATATATATACATATGTATGCATGCTTTTTTAATTTCTAATTCCAAACGCAGACCAAGCTTATTTCTCGCTATGCTGCAAGTTAAAACGAATCGAATTTGTAATAAGTGCTCTCCTCCTCGATTCTCAAGAATTCGAGTAGGCTCTACAGTTTTTGATGTGTTTTTAGTAAGTGCCTGACAAGTGGGTTGGCGATGAAGTCAGAGTTGAGTAGGTATGTAGGTATGTAGGTATGTAGGTATGTAGGTATGTAGGTATATATTTATGTATGTATGTATGTATGTATGTATGTATGTATGTATGTATGTATGTATGTATGTATGTATGTATGTATGTATGTATGTATGTATGTATGCATGTATGTATGTATGTATGTATGTATGTATGTATGAATGTATGCAAGTATCCAGGCATGTATTCATACATGTACGCATGCAGGCATACATGCATGCCTGTACCAGATAACATTGAAAAGAACATTCACTTTTTTTTTTGTAATTCTCTATCTTTTATGACATAAATTTCACTTTCTATAGCTGGCACAAATGTGCAATGTTTTCTGTGCTCCCTGTTGACTTTTACTTTTTACATATGCATTTATTGTAAAACTATTCTCTTTGCTTGCAGTTGCAAAACTCGACGGACATTGCCGTTGTCCTGCGCTCGGTCAGCCTACAGTCGACGGGTCGCTATCGGTGCGAAGTGTCCGGCGAGGCGCCTTCGTTCCAGACAGTTTCCGGTCACGAGGACATGATTGTTGTGGGTAAGTGCAAGTGTGTGTGCGAGTAAGAGAGCGAAAAAGCGACAGAGGGAGAGAGAGAGAGAGAGCGAGGCATACAGCAAGATTAATTGCTCAGCATGGACAAAGCGATGAAAAGTAATCTGTTTCTTTCAGTGCAATACACACACGCATATATATGTATGCATATAAAATATTTCGCATTTATATAGTTTATGCTTTGGCATTGTTTCTCGCTGCGATTTACAAATTCTCAAGCATGAAACCTGTGCCAAATAAAAAGAGAAATACAAAGATAACATACCATGCAAGGCTACGCAGCCACTTGGCCAGTTGGGCAGCGTTCAACAACCTTCACACAGATACACACACGCACACATACACAGCTACACTATGTCTGCACGTCTGTCTGCGTGAGCTCTCTCTCTCTCTGTGAGTGTGTGTGTGTGTGTGTGTTTTGTATTATTCTGCTGGCAAATTGCCCATGTACGTGATGCAATTCAGTTGCTCACTTACAGCTCCAGACCTGGAACCGACTATGGCCACCGCCTGGGCTTGGGTCTTGGGTCTGGCTGGGTTGGGCTGCAACTTAATTTGAAATTTTTGCGCAATCCAACAAAACATGGCGAAAATATGGCAGAACGCAATATGAAAAAGTGCTTTGGGGAAAACTTAGAATAAACGTGTTTAATAACAGCCGCAGCGGCCGTTGAAATGCTAGCTACAAAAGCGCCACGAATAAATCCCACTTGCAATTCGCCATTTTCGCATTTGCCAGCCTCTTCTACAGTTATTGCCAACTTGATGCTTGACACACGGACAGACAAACACAACTAAGAAGAGAGTGAACGACTTGAAGTCACCCTCTATTCAAGTTCTAATTGATGTGGAATTAATTCGTAATTGAATGTTAACTATGGAGATTCCGAATTTTTGGAAAACTGAAGTAGTTATGGGAAATCTGCCTGTTGGGGCTCTCAGCCAGCAGAGAAGACAGAGGATATTTATATATGGTATATTTGTCTCTACTCAAAAAAATCGTTCTTTTCCTACCAAAAAAAGTGTAACTTGCAAGCGAAATAAATAAATGGTATTGCGCTTGTTTACTGAGGGCCCATTTCAAATATTCATTTGGTTCTATATGCTTAGCATAGAGTAGGGAAAGGGGAAATGGGGAAATGGGGGCGACAACATCATTATGATTATCATTGACATTAGCATTGGGTCTCAATTGTTACTCCCCGGGCAATTTTGTGTTCATTTCCGTCAGGTGGACCCAGGCAAGAGGAGGACTATCAAACTGTGTATATCGCATAATTAGTCCAACTAACTAGCTGCTATACTATACATATATATATAAAGGAGTATTTGAGGGGGCAGCAATCAAAGCAGCACGCTTCCGTTTTGCTAGGGGAATTACATGATTACTTAACTTTAATGTTTGCCAAGCGATCTGAATCGCAATCATCTCAGCCGCGCCTCGTTCAGGCCTAAGCGGATTAAATCGGCTGCGTTATGCCTGCTGCAGATCTATAAAGTTCATGAATCACCTGTTAATGGCAGGAGCCTAAAAAAAGAAACGTATGAAGCGAACAAATATCAAATGATTTAAATTACCGGAATATTGAAATTAATGCGCCAGTATATATGTGCTTACGTGGGCGCGCGTATGTGTGTGAGTGTGTGTGTGTGTGACGGTGTTTTTATGCGGCTAAAATAATTGAATGTGATTACGGGCGCACGGCTAAATGACGAGGCGCAACACAGTTGACCCAGTTAGTGGGCTCAGATGGCTTTGATAGCTTCTCGTGAAATGGGATAATTGAAGTACAAGCGCGGAAATTGAAAAACAGAAACGGAAAATATCGTCGACTGAGCAGAGCTAACATTGCGCAGTTAATTAGATTATCATAAGCTGCAAGGCAATATCCCGGCCAGCTTTAGATATTACTTCCGCATGCAAGAGATATGCCTGATATATTATACTATCTATTTTTGGACTGGAAATCTTTCTCAAACGCCTTTTCCCTTTGTCATTGCCATATTGGGCCATTGTCCGAGCAGCTCGACACTGTAGGCTCCATCAAAGTGGCCAGACAATTAGAAGCAATTGGTCAACAAAAAAAAAGGGTTTATTTTCTCTTTTCTTTTGAAACGAAAGGGGAAAGTGAAAAAAGCGTGTCACCAAAAAGGCGCCTAATGACAAATAATAAAAAATATGCGCTGGCAAAATAATAATAAAAATAATGAAAGAATGTATCAACAGCTCAATCAATGTCAGGAGAGCGCGGATATAAAAGACCGAAAATAATAATTTATGCAGTTGAGTAGAGCTAAACAATCACAAGAACAAGAAAAAAAAGAAAGCAGAAACAAACAAAAGGAAAGCTGCAGAAAACAACATACAAAGCATGCACAAGATTTTCTTTTCTTTCATTTCGGTTTTCTCTATCTTTACTTTAATTTTTATTTCTGGCTGCGAACAAGGCCTTGCATTTATTATGCGAAATTTCGCTGTAGCCGGAAGCGGGCGGCAAATAATAATACAAGAGCAATCAAAATTATTATTATTATTTTTATCATTATTAAGGCGAACGGAGGCAAAAGGACAGCGTGAAGGAAATTTCGCAAATGCCAGACATCAGATGCAGAAGTATTTCTAAAAGCTAGATTATAATTTGTGTATGTGTTTGTGTGTGTGTGTGTGTGTGTGTGTGTGTGTGTGTGTGTGTGTGTGTGTGTGCATTGCAGTCGATTTATATGGATTCATTGGCGGATTTCAAGTGAAACTGAATATATTGTCCATAGGTTGACTGACCCAATTGGCACACATCCAGGTCAGATTCAGGCACAACTACGACAACAACAAAATGTACAATAATTGCACATGAAACTTTGCGAATGTTGTTGCCAATTGCTGGTGCCAATTGTTGTTGCATTTGTGCAGAGTTATTTGAATAGCAAAATCTGCAAGCCCAACTTTAAATCGAACTCAATAAAGAGGCTCTTTTAAACGTGGCAAGAGTCTGAAGCTTTGCCGGAACTAAATTGTTGAGTTTTATAACCGAATCAAGTATTGAGGAATTTCAAGCTGGACTTAGATCGTGAGGAGGAATATTCCATTATCCGACCTAAGGTGTGCTTATATCAAGCCCTGTTGGCAACGTCTTGGAGACTTTCAGGAAGATCGTAAAAAAGTAAAAGCGACATTTAAATTATATAAATAAGGGAAGCAACAAAATAGCTCTTAATATCAAGCATCAAGAATCGAGGAACTTCATATAATTGCTTTCAATCTGGATTTAGATTGTGAGGAGTTAGTTCCCATTATCCGAACTAAGGTTGGGATCACATGGAATATTTTCAGGAAGATCGTAAAAAACTAATTGCGACCCTTAAATTATAAATAAGGGAAGCAACAAATAAGCGCTTTTTAAGCTTTGTCCGAACTAATTTGTTCAGTATTAAAAACGAATCAGGAATTGAGGAACTTCATATAATTGCTTTCAATCTGGATTTAGATTGTGAGGAGCTATTTCCCATTGTCCGAACTAAGGTGTGCTTTTATTAAGCCCTGTTGGCAACGTCTTGGAGATTTTCAGGAAGATCGTAAAAAAGTAAAAGGGACCTATAAATTAAAAATAAGGAAGGGAAGCAGCAAAACACTAATTATTAAGCTGTGTCTGGACTTATTATTATTATTGAAAATTATAACCGGATCAAGAATCAAGGAACTTTATATAATTGCCTTTAATCTCGATTTAGATCGTGAGGAGGTATTTCCCATGGTGTGCTTTTATTAAGCCCTGTTTGCAACGTATTGAATTTTTTCAGGAAGATCGTAAAAAATAAAAGGGACCCCTAAATTACTTTTAATGGAAGCAACAAAAAAGCTATTATGTTAATTATTATAACCTAATCAAGAATTGAGGAAGAGGAATTATTATCATCATCTGTGACGTAGGATATCATCTCATTGATAGACTCTTGCCCTCAGCCCATTCTGCAGCTCTCTACATATAGTCACCTTAGTCAGAAACTTACTTTGGAAAGTGGTTTATATTCTGGCTAATCGATGCGGTGAACACCTTGTGCACTTGTCTCTCCCATTGCAGTCACACCCAA